TGTTTAGCTGCCTGCCGGGTTAAACCACGTCATCTTGCTATGGGGCAGTGTGCTTTGAGAAAGGACAGGATTTTCCCATTTAGTGAGGACCAAAGTTCACATGAAACGATTTCTCTACTTGTTATGTTACACTTACCATAAGGCTTCACAAGAGGCAACAATTCTGTGCAAACATTCCTGGTTCCAAAAAAGTTTGTCTTCAGTGTAACCTCTGCTTGGACCGCAAATGGAGTTGTGTCATGAACTTTTCATAAGAGGTGGTAGCAAGGGAGGGGGAAGGAAAGGAAAAAAGAAAAAAAAAAAAAAAAAATCAGAATTGTACTACTGTTTGAAACGAAGTTACCAAACTACCAAAACCCAAAAGTTTATCTTAGTTCCTTCTTTTTTTTGATAATTAGGAAACAGGCATAAGATCAGTTAAAATACATAAGAAAAAAAAAAAAGCAACATCACTAATGCTCACATTCTTATTAATGAAAAGCTCCAGCTCTGCAATATTATATTAATAATGAGCTAATTATGTCTTCACCTCTTCTTAGCTGAAGGCTTTAGCTTTGCCCCAGGAGATTCAGTTGTATCACTCTGCAGTCATTTGCCAACCCACAGGCCATTTGTCTTTCTGCCTTTTATATGGAAGAGACAAGGAAGGACTGCTCTCACAGGGTGTGCTGCCCAACCTGCCCACTGACCTGCCTGTACTTACTCACACACAGTGCTCAGTCTGGGCTGCCACTACCACATGCAAGTAAAATTCGAGGTGCCCTCTCCTCTTAAATGCATAGCACAGCACTTTGCCACCATCTTGACATACCAGGGGAGGGGAGGGGGCAGAGGGGAAATCAGAAGGTAAGATCCTGAATCTACGATGCTGCCACTGAAGATGCAAAAGTTAGACTACCACCCTGGTACTAACATCCAGCAACACGGTAGACAACTGCTTCTATATCCTGACTCTCATGTTGTCATGTCTTGGGTTCTTAGCTGGGACTTGAAGTCAGAGCAGTGCAAATTGCAACAAACACTGTAAAAGCTTCTATAAAGAATGCAGGGGTAAGATTTGGTGCAGTCTGAAAAAAACAGTCAAAAAAACTCAACCAACCCCCAAACTGATAAATACTTGTGTCATAAATCACCACCTGAACTGACACATCCATGCCAAAACAAGCAAAAGAATGGGAATTAGCAGGTAGGAAAGGGAGCTTATTTAGGTAAGCATAAACAGACCATGGAACTGCACTGTAATGGTATGATTTCATCAGACAGAACTGACAGCTTGCCACCACCAGAAGTGGGGTAGGATGTGCCATCAGCTGGCAGTTTGGCTCAGCAATAAGCCATATGCTATGCATCCTCCACTTTGAGAGGGAAGTAAGAGTTAAAATAACAGCATTCCTCCTCTTCTGCTACAGGCTCTGTTTCTGCAGTGATGAAGGCCACCTACATAGATTAGACAGGTCTTCACTTGCCTCCATAGCCCAGACCTATGCAAACTCAAAAGAGAAGCAATAACAGGTCATTTAGTATTTAATGTAGTTGCGTTTTTATTGCAAAACACAGCTTTAATGGCTGACTTATTTATACTCTCAAGCAATGGGCACCAATGGCATCAAGTTTTGCAAATCACTTGCTTGCATTTAAACCCGAGACACGAAGCCAGACCATGACCTCTTGCAAGAGTTACGATAGCGGGAGAAGAGAAGAAACTAAAAACCTACACAACTCCAAACTCCTGCTTCCACACCCACCTTGCAAGAAAAAAGCTTCCCTGCACCAAAACCCATTCATTTGTCTAACAAGATACATTACTTGCAACATCTGATAGATACACACTCCCTTGATTTAACAAGCATTACTAGAATGACCATTCTCACAGAAGCTCATCCAGAAGGCAACCCATGGGTACATAATTGTTTCACACATGTACAGTTTTTGTTGGACTAAGGACTTTGCTGGACTATCTGTAGTGCAGCACAAAAACTGAACAATAAATTAAATTTAATGGTAAATCTAATCTTTAACAGACAGCAACGACACACTACTACAATAAAGGAAAGCATAAATTCTGGGATGGTAGCAGAAACCTGGCAAAGCAAGAAGCAAGCTTGGGTAGAAATGCCAATCTCAGAAGCAAGAATTAAAGCCAAAATATGAGATAAGCATCACAGCAAATTCTTACACAGGTGTTAAACCCTCTAGCTTCTGTGCTAGATACTTACACAACAACACTTACAACTGGCTCCTCTATCACATTTCTTAATTGTATGACCTACTGCTGACTCATAGTAAGTTGCCAGCTTGAAGAAAGTCTAGGCTAAACATCTGGAAGCAACTTCTGAACAAACAAACAAAATCTATGATGCAGTAAAGGAAATAACAGGAACTCTACTAGTCACACTATTTTACCTATTTATCTGTTCAGTGGCTGCACGATAATAAATCTAAGATCTCTCACAGATGAGCTCTAGCAAATCTTGCTGCAGCAATTTGAGGAGCTTTTATTTCACCTGTCCAGGTACCCACCTTGACAGAGGCTACAGCTGCTGCAAAGTAAGCAACAGGAAACACACACTGCACTTCAACTGCTGTAGTTGCAGCCCAGTCTTGCTTGAACTCACTGTCATTAGTAGATTGAGCTAAGGCCCTGATTATGAATTGAAGAAACAGTGGTCTGAGCACCTGCAGGCTTTATAAATGATAAGCATGGACAGACATACAATCTTTTAACTGTTGCTGCATGGTTTTAACACCTCTCTATCTTGAGCACATCCTAAAGCTCAGACAATTATATTAAGAGTTCCCTCCTGTTAAGCTAATCTTGAACACAAGCAATCTTCCTGCAAAATACCATGCAAAATACACAGTGACTGGACTTCAGAACACCATTGCTGCACTCCCGCTACATGAGAAGCTCCAGCAGCAGGTGAGGTATGATCCACACAATCCGACAGGCCTCCTTAACTCATGCTGTGAATAGATGAGTCAGCACAACAGTGTGCTTGAACAGTTAGTTAGGTGTCCTAACTCGAGATCAGGCAGATTAAAAAAAACCAAACCAAACAAAAAACCAATCCAAAACAACAAAACAAAACCACAAAACAAACCAGAAAATATGGAAAGAACAAGTTTATACTGGCAGGGAAATGAACTACTAGTCATGCTTGTGATTTGCTCTATCTGAGCTAACATGATTCCCAACTTGTCCTTATAAAGACCTACAAGGAGAATGCACTCTTCTACCTTACAACTGCTGTGTCTTCCTCACTTTCCCTGCCTTCCTGTCCACTAGAAGATAAAGGGTTAAATTCTTGCTCAGCACAGCAAGATTTAGGTTAACTGTTCTATAGGTAACTGAATGGCCTGAGAAAGTTAAAGATAAGTAAAGATTACAAAATCACCCAGGGCCGAAGGTTCTTTTTTATCAACTGGAATCCTTGAGCAGGTAATGCATAGAACAAAGTATAAGGCTTGCAGAAGAGAGAAAACACAGACCACTGAGGAACACGGCTAATATTCACACAGGTGATGGGCTCCTATGGGCCTGGTGAAACTTATGGGCACTGAGGCAATAAACCCAACTCTGCTCACATGCAGTGTGTGCCTAAAGTATTTTCATGCTCTGTATGTGATGCAAACACAATACTCCAGGGAAGCATCTTTACATGCAACAGATGCTAGAAGATGAGCCATTTCACATTGCCCTCTCATCATGCTTAAGAAGGCAGGCAGCTTGCCCAGCCAAAAAAGCAGCATGCCATTGGCACAGAAGTCCCATATAAGTCGCTTTGTAAAATCCTTGATGCATCTACTATTCTCCTCCACGTAGCTTTGTAGCACATAGGACTATCCCAGACAGTCCGCTTCCTACCTTTGAATGCGATCCCTGCATTGTTAACCAGCACGTTCAGCCCTCCATATTTCTCCTTTAGGAAGTCACGGAGAGCTCTGATGCTCTGCAGATCATCGATATCCAGCTGATGGAAGAGTGCACGCAGCCCTTCCTCCTGGAGCTTCGCCACTGCTTCCTGGCCACGGCCGGGGTCTCGGGCTGTCAGGTACACGTCCCCTGGGAACTGCTTACACAGAGCCCGCACAATTGCGAATCCGATCCCTTTGTTGGACCCGGTCACCACAGCCACTGGCACGTTAGACATTGTCCTCTCTGAATGTATGTCAAAGTGACAGAAAACTGCAAACAGCAAAGAAGAAAATGTCACACTCAGATGGACAAAGACGGCTATCTGAAAATGGATTGAAGTATTTTTTTTCTTTAAAATCCTACTTAGAATTCCACTTTGAATTACGTAAAACTTAAAGAGTTTTACATATTAGAGTGCACACTAACTGTAACTTACTAAAGTAGCATGAGGTATTTGCAGAGAAATACAAGTTTGGTGTTAATGTTTTGAAGAAAGCCCAACCAGTGATTGGGTTAAAAAAAAAAAAAAAAAGAAAGAAAGAAAGAAAGAAAGTCAATGACTAATCTTTAGTACTTAACTTTTGATGGGAGTAAGCTCGTCTGCACATACAACTTACAGGAATACCATCTCCTTCTTTTAAGAATCTTCAATTGGTTCAGTTCAAGCACTGATGCAGTCAAAGCTGAAAAACTCGGGTGCAAAAAAAGGGGAGGAGTGGCTTGATCTTCAATTGTCATGCAGGAGAACCAATTTTAGCGTTTTTAGAGGGAAACAGTGGACCACAGATTGACTACAGACAATGTTTCTTCTGTTTACCACACCAGTCAGCTCTAGATACAAAGCCTGCTTGCTGTTTTTTTTTTTTTCCACAGGCATAGCACATTTAAAGACGACGTATTTCCCCCATAAAAGCGAGTTTAAAACGCTGTTTTTGTTCACTTTTGACTTAATGGCCATTTGTCTTCCAAATTAGCTTGTAACTAACCACGAGCAGACATCTAGCGAGGATGAAATCTTAACCAGCTCCTAAAAGCCTGCCCAACTACTGACTGACTTCACCAGGGCCAGGAGCCACCCTCCCGCTTCACCATCAAGGTCCCACCTCGCTGCACACCGGCACATTTCACTCACTACCGCCTCCTCAGGACCGGTTTTTCTTCCTAACGGGAACGCAAAGCAAACCCGCGAGGCCCCACGATGAAGCCCGGCTCCTCAGGGGACTCCCCGCGGGACACGGGCGGCCGCTACG